CAAGCCGCAAGGTCCAGGACTCAAACCGTGGGGGTCATGTGGGAATTCAGCACCCTCAACCACCATGCCACCTGCCAGCCCCCAGCAAATTGGGTTTTTAAATCTCACTTCTCTTCCTGCCTTTCCTCTCCCACCCATCTTTCTATTTGGTATTTACTGCACATGTCTGGGCCTTGCCCGGGGCCAGGCACAGTGGGTACTACAAGCTAAGAGCACAGATACACAGGGATGTATGCTCTGGTGCCAACAGCCATGGAGGGCTCTGGAGTGCACCCTGAATAGGGATGGTATTAAGGTGGTAGGAAGATGGGGGCATTTCTGGCAGCAGGCCCCCGAACTGCAGACTAAAAGCTGCCGTGGGGACTTAGGGCAGTGGGTTGGGAGGGCATAGTACAGGGGCTTGCAAATGCCAAGTAGAAAAGCTTGGATTTATCAGCCAGTGGTATGACAGTTGGTGGCTGGGTCCCACATGGCCAACTGGATGGTTCAAGTCCCAGACCCACCACATAAAAAACATGGTGCAGGCATATGTGTGTGCCTACTCAAAACTCCAAGAGGAAGGGAGGAGGAGTTGTGGTGTGGACATCCCACCTGGGAAGTAATTTCTCATTTTCCCTTCTCTTTCCCTCTCACTGTCTCTCTGACAAGTGTGCATGCCCTATGGCAAAATTAAAAGAAAAAAGTTAAATAAAGAAGATCTTGGCTTTGGCTCAGACCTTTGAGAAGGAAAATTCTTTACCTGACCAAACTCTTCTAGGTCTGTCTTCCTTCAGCCTGGCACCAAGGCCAAGTGACTCAGCAGTAACTCTTACAGGTCAGGCAGTGAGGACATGGGTCACCTGCTAGGATCTGAGAGTTATAAGGGCCTTGGAGCTCATCTCCTCTAAAACAAAGTTGCCAGGTACCAGAAGATGACTTAATGGTTACGTCGCTGGACTCCCATGTGGTTGACCCTGGTTCGAGTCCCGGACCTGGCGGCTTAAACTCACGCTGGGCGCGTATGCGTATGTGCTAGAGTTCCCAACAGAAGGTCTGTGGGTTGGATTTGATCTACCCAGTGTTTCAAATAAATTACTAAGCAGACTCAAAAATCACATAAAAATCAGGATTTGCTCGCTTTTCTCCACAGGTCTCTATTCCTGACCATTCTGGGTCAACACTCCTGCATGACCACAAAGAGCCAAGCTGAGCAGTGGCTGTCCCTGACTCAGACTGTTATACTCACTGCCCACCAACTCCACTGTCCACTGACTCCAGCCAGCCTTCCTGTGTGGTTCTCAACTGCCCTGTGGCTCCCCCCACAAAGTGGGGAGGGCTCTGGCTCTCATCTTCTTGGAGAGGATCCTGAGGTTGTAGGTAAGATGGCTTCTGAAGAGTGTTCCCAGATGAAAATTTGAAGACCATTCTTCTAGGGTGAGCTCCTCAGGGAGGGAAACCCTGAAGGGATTTGCTTCTGGCCCCAGTAATGTCTCTGGGTTCTGTCTGCCAGGCTAGGCTGACACTCGCTCATTTGTGAGAATGAGGGTAAGGAAGACAGGCCAGCATACAGTACATACCCTGCCCCAACGAAGAACATGGGGAAACCTCTGAATCTTTTAAAACCTTTAATAATGTCCATGTGCCCCAAGTCGGGCCCTCTTGCTCCTCAGGAACTTCTGGTGTGCCTCCCTCACTCCAAAGTCTCCTCTTTATGTCAGAGGGTCATCAGGTGGGAGCACTCATCAGCTGCAGGAAGGAGAAGTTTGCCTCATGGTCCCCAGGCTCAAGCTGAGCTCAGACCTGAGCCATGCGGGTGGCTGTGTTGCTGGAGATCAGATCCCTTTGTCTTCTGAGTACCTAGGCAGGACCTGGGGAGAGGGCATAGTCTCCAGGCCAGAGTCGGTGGGCCAAGCAGCATGGCAGGAGTCCTAAACCCCTTCCAGGTTGGGACCAGCAGATGGCATAATGGTTATATCACTCGACTCCCACATAGTTGACCACAGTTTGAGTCCTGGACCTGGAGGCTTAAAACTCTCGCCAGGCACATATGCGTGCATGTCCAAAATTCCAAGAGAAGAACGGAGGAGAAGGGATTGATTACAGCATGGTTATCCACCCTGGGGGATGATTTCTTGCTTTCTGTTTCTCTGTCTCTGTCTCTCAGGTGAGCATACATGCTCTATAGCAAAAACCTCTGGGAAAAAAAAAGAAAGAAATCCCTTCCAGGTTGTCCCTGTACACTAGAAAAATAATTGCTCTTATGCCACATCATGAAAAAAGATGGAGAAGTTTCAACTACAGGCCTCACTGCCAGAGAACCACTTCTACTCATGTGAAGCTGGAGGCAAAGGGCTCAAAGGCAGCGTTTCCCCACAGAAAACTGCATACAGCCAGCCTGTGCACCCCTCCATCCACTCCAAGCCGCAAGGTCCAGGACTCAAACCGTGGGGGTCATGTGGGAATTCAGCACCCTCAACCACCATGCCACCTGCCAGCCCCCAGCAAATTGGGTTTTTAAATCTCACTTCTCTTCCTGCCTTTCCTCTCCCACCCATCTTTCTATTTGGTATTTACTGCACATGTCTGGGCCTTGCCCGGGGCCAGGCACAGTGGGTACTACAAGCTAAGAGCACAGATACACAGGGATGTATGCTCTGGTGCCAACAGCCATGGAGGGCTCTGGAGTGCACCCTGAATAGGGATGGTATTAAGGTGGTAGGAAGATGGGGGCATTTCTGGCAGCAGGCCCCCGAACTGCAGACTAAAAGCTGCCGTGGGGACTTAGGGCAGTGGGTTGGGAGGGCATAGTACAGGGGCTTGCAAATGCCAAGTAGAAAAGCTTGGATTTATCAGCCAGTGGTATGACAGTTGGTGGCTGGGTCCCACATGGCCAACTGGATGGTTCAAGTCCCAGACCCACCACATAAAAAACATGGTGCAGGCATATGTGTGTGCCTACTCAAAACTCCAAGAGGAAGGGAGGAGGAGTTGTGGTGTGGACATCCCACCTGGGAAGTAATTTCTCTTTCCCTCTCACTGTCTCTCTGACAAGTGTGCATGCCCTATGGCAAAATTAAAAGAAAAAAGTTAAATAAAGAAGATCTTGGCTTTGGCTCAGACCTTTGAGAAGGAAAATTCTTTACCTGACCAAACTCTTCTAGGTCTGTCTTCCTTCAGCCTGGCACCAAGGCCAAGTGACTCAGCAGTAACTCTTACAGGTCAGGCAGTGAGGACATGGGTCACCTGCTAGGATCTGAGAGTTATAAGGGCCTTGGAGCTCATCTCCTCTAAAACAAAGTTGCCAGGTACCAGAAGATGACTTAATGGTTACGTCGCTGGACTCCCATGTGGTTGACCCTGGTTCGAGTCCCGGACCTGGCGGCTTAAACTCACGCTGGGCGCGTATGCGTATGTGCTAGAGATCCTGAGAAGACAATGGAGGAGAAGGGATTGTGACATGGCCATCCCCCCTGGAAGGTGGTTTCTTGCTGTCTCTCTCTGTCACTCTGGCAAGCACATGTACCCTATAGCAAAACTCTCTTAAAAAAAAAAAAGTTCCCAACAGAAGGTCTGTGGGTTGGATTTGATCTACCCAGTGTTTCAAATAAATTACTAAGCAAACTCAAAAATCACATAAAAATCAGGATTTGCTCGCTTTTCTCCACAGGTCTCTATTCCTGACCATTCTGGGTCAACACTCCTGCATGACCACAAAGAGCCAAGCTGAGCAGTGGCTGTCCCTGACTCAGACTGTTATACTCACTGCCCACCAACTCCACTGTCCACTGACTCCAGCCAGCCTTCCTGTGTGGTTCTCAACTGCCCTGTGGCTCCCCCCACAAAGTGGGGAGGGCTCTGGCTCTCATCTTCTTGGAGAGGATCCTGAGGTTGTAGGTAAGATGGCTTCTGAAGAGTGTTCCCAGATGAAAATTTGAAGACCATTCTTCTAGGGTGAGCTCCTCAGGGAGGGAAACCCTGAAGGGATTTGCTTCTGGCCCCAGTAATGTCTCTGGGTTCTGTCTGCCAGGCTAGGCTGACACTCGCTCATTTGTGAGAATGAGGGTAAGGAAGACAGGCCAGCATACAGTACATACCCTGCCCCAACGAAGAACATGGGGAAACCTCTGAATCTTTTAAAACCTTTAATAATGTCCATGTGCCCCAAGTCGGGCCCTCTTGCTCCTCAGGAACTTCTGGTGTGCCTCCCTCACTCCAAAGTCTCCTCTTTATGTCAGAGGGTCATCAGGTGGGAGCACTCATCAGCTGCAGGAAGGAGAAGTTTGCCTCATGGTCCCCAGGCTCAAGCTGAGCTCAGACCTGAGCCATGCGGGTGGCTGTGTTGCTGGAGATCAGATCCCTTTGTCTTCTGAGTACCTAGGCAGGACCTGGGGAGAGGGCATAGTCTCCAGGCCAGAGTCGGTGGGCCAAGCAGCATGGCAGGAGTCCTAAACCCCTTCCAGGTTGGGACCAGCAGATGGCATAATGGTTATATCACTCGACTCCCACATAGTTGACCACAGTTTGAGTCCTGGACCTGGAGGCTTAAAACTCTCGCCAGCCACATATGCGTGCATGTCCAAAATTCCAAGAGAAGAACGGAGGAGAAGGGATTGATTACAGCATGGTTATCCACCCTGGGGGATGATTTCTTGCTTTCTGTTTCTCTGTCTCTGTCTCTCAGGTGAGCATACATGCTCTATAGCAAAAACCTCTGGGAAAAAAAAAGAAAGAAATCCCTTCCAGGTTGTCCCTGTACACTAGAAAAATAATTGCTCTTATGCCACATCATGAAAAAAGATGGAGAAGTTTCAACCACAGGCCTCTCTGCCAGAGAACCACTTCTACTCATGTGAAGCTGGAGGCAAAGGGCTCAAAGGCAGCGTTTCCCCACAGAAAACTACATACAGCCAGCCTGTGCACCCCTCCATCCACTCATCCACTCATCCACCCATCCAATCATCTACCCACACATTCACCTAGTCATCCACCACCCAACCATCCAAACATCTACCCAGCCATCCATCTCATCATCTACCTGTCATTTATCTATTCATTCGTCCATCTGTCCACCCGACAATCTAAATATATACCCACCCATCCAAATCATCTACCCACTCATCCACCCATACATCAAGTATCTATTGCGCACTCACCATGCACCAAGCTGTGTGCTGTATGCCAGAGATTAAACAGTGGACAAGACACCATCAGTGGGGCAGATGTCTCATGGAACTAGGAGACTAAGGCCTTGGAGTAGCAGTTCCCCAGAGATACCTGGTACCCATATCTGAAACTTTGGGCATGGCCCTATTTGTCTTAGAAAGCCTTCATTTGGGGACAGGGCACTGGGTAGAAACATGGCCTGAGAGGAAGGTGGGTAAGTGGACCTGGGCCAGAGATCAGTGCATGATGGAAATGGTTTGGTCGGCCACAGCAAAGACTGGGAAGAGGGGCCCAGGGAAGGACGCGTGGTAGGTGAAGAGCACTGTGCTTGAGGCCGGCTCATAGAAGAGCAGCTCCTGGGCCTGCAGGTCCAGCACCACGCCCACCTGGGCTGGGCACCGCAGCAGCCCCAGGGGCTCGTGCTGCCCGTTGTGTGAGAAACGGAACTCCTGGTCATAGCGAGAGAAGACCCAGGAGAAAGTGTTGTGGCCCAGGCGGCAGTCATTGCCAGAACCCTTGCGGGGCAGCTGGCCCAAGGCCACGCCCACCTTATAGGCACAGCTGTTCTGGACGTTCACCATCCAGGCATGGAGCCCAGCCTGGAAGGAGGTGGCAGCCAGGGCATTGGGCCAGTGGTCAAAGCGCTCTGGGCCATCCGCACAAGCTTTGGACTTCTTGGCGCTGAAGGTCAGGGTCCTTCGATCATCTGACAATTGCAGAAAGGGGCTGACGGTCCTCTCGTCAATACGCACATCCTCTGTGCCTGCCAGAAAGAATTCTCAGAGTTTTCCTGGGCCCACCGCCACCCCTAACCTGGATGTAGGTAGCAAAGGCACACTCATCACCCACTGGCAGTGTGACCTCAGACTCTCTCTGCCATTTACTCTCTCTGTGCCTCAGTTTCCTCAGCTCTAAAATCAGGATCAATACAGCACTTATCACAGGGTAGTCATAAGAACTAAACTGACACTGTAAAGTACCTAACCTGTATAATAATCTTTCCTTACCTATGGAGAATACATTCCAAGATCCCCAGTAGATGCCCGAAACCACAGACAGTACCAAACCCTATTTATACATATATATATTTTGTACATATATACCTATGACAAATTTAACTTATAAATTAGGCTTAGAAGTAAATAATAATTAATAACAAAATAGAACAATTATAATAAAAACTATGTGAATGTGGGACCAGCAGATGGCATAACAGTTATGTTACTGGGTGAATGTGATCTAAGTATCTTATTGTACCATGTGTGTTTTGAACTGAGACTGATCACAGGTAACTAAAGCCTTCGAAAGTGAAACCACAGATAAGGAGGAGCTACTGTAATAAATGCTCAAAAAAACCCTGCAACCTGCAGAATAGTAGTTATTGGTCCCAGACCCTCTCCTGTAAACTCTGGTAGAAATAAGACCTCAAGAGGAGAAGGAAATTGCCCAAGGTTACAGGCCGAGCTGATGGCTCAGGCCAAATAAAGCCTTGGCATCTTGTTTCTATATCAGCACTGGTCGCACTGCTTTCTAGTTGGTCATATCTGTGGCCCCAGATGAAGCTTGTCTGAAGAACAGAGCCCCGGAAAGCTAGGAGATGTGATATATGCCATTCCCAACAGATAACTAACCACAGTGCTGGCCAATCAGATACCAGAGCCTGGAGTAGAAAACCTGTAGCTTATACCTTGCTGTAAGAATGATATGCAGGGGCAAGGTTAAAAATCGAAAAAAATCTCGGGTCCAGCAGTTAGCGTAATGGCTATGTTGCTGAACTCCCATGTAATCGACCACGGTTCGAGTCCCAGACCTGGTGGCTTAAAACTCACGCCGGACGTGTGTGCGTGTATGCCCAAGATCCCGAGAGGAGAACGGAGGAGAAGGGATTGCAGCATGGCCATCCCCCCTGGGGGGTGATTTCTCACTTTCTCTCTCTCTGTCTTTCTGGCTAGTGCACGTGCCCTATAGCAAAAACCTCTCCAAAAAAAAAAAAAAATTGAAAAAATCTCAAGCCATTAACCTAACTTTTCCATAAACTGCAAAGAGTGCAAAGACTGCCAACCACCCAGCTTGGAGGCACCTGCTCTGAGAACCTTCATGCTAAGAAATTCCTGGACCACGTCCTTCACCTCTGGAGCCCCAGCATTCAGCATGGCCCGGCCACAGCCAGCCTGAGGGTTTCACTTCATCATTGTGAAGTGAGCAAGGTGCATCCAGGCACCTCGGTCCAGATGCTCTCCAGGTGGCTGTCAATTATACCTTCTTCAAGAGAAACCTGAGTTTTCCAATAAATAATAGTGAGCTGTCCTTGTAGGGCAGGGAATGAGGAGGATATGACTGATAGGAACAAGATCTACCCTAGACTCAATCACAGAGTAGGTTGGTCTGAAAATGGAAGGGACTTGGCCTAGCTGCCCCAGGCTCACCTGCCCCAGGCCTACCTGGATCCCTGGTCCCACCGACCCGTGTGCATTCAGAATCGCTGATTGCTTAAGGCACCATCCCAGAAGCACTGGTCCACTGTGACCCGGAACAAACCACAGACAGACAGAGCCAGATGCCCTCACGTGCTGGGCTCTGGCAGCTGCTCACCTGAGAGGGATCCGAGAACGGCTGTCGCCCAGAGTCGGGTCAGTAGGGGACTCTGAGTGCACTTCTCATTAAAGTTTAACTTTTCTGACTCTTGAGGATCCAAAATGCCCTCTGCTTCCTCGGACCTTGCATAGGGAAAAACAAAGAGATTCAGGAAGGTTTTAGAAGTGAATCTGGATCGGTGCTAGCAGGAGTGAAGGTTAAGGCACTGGACTCCTGCATGGCTAATGTGGTTCAAGTCCCAGACCTAGTGACTTGCCTTCTCATTTCTCTCTCTCTTTCTTTGTCTCTTTCTGATAAACACAGAGAAAGAGAGAGAAAGAATGAGAAAGCAAACCACCCTTTAAATTATGCCCTATAGTAAACTTTAAAATAATAACAATCATAAAATAATATTTTGAAAAGTTTGCCACATTGGTTGTAAGGGAGGGACAAAAAAAAAAAATCCTCTTTCCACCAAGACCAGCAGCCAGGTCACATACAGTGGTCCTCAGGAGGCGAGTCAAAGGGAAGGTGAGTCTTTCCCCTGTGCCCCACCTACCAGGACCCTTAGTTCTGGTAAAGCAGACAATTTACAGGAAAGAGCAAGCACCAGAAACTGGAGATGGGCCAGAGGGTAGCAGAGCAATAAAACAATGGGATCCACATGGGAAGGTCCCGGGGTTCACATCTTGAGGCCTCCCTATACTGCCATGTGTGTCCCCAAACATGCCCGTGACCCGGCCTGCTTGAGGCTGAGGTGGACCATGGCATAAAGACTTTGTTGGGGATGCTCCTCCTCACTCTATCTCGTGGAAAAAAGAAAGAAATTCTAAGAAAAAAACAGAAATGGGAGCCAAAGTGGTAGTGGAGCAGTAAAACATGACACTGTAAGAGAGATCCACATGGGAAGGTCTCTGGTTCAAATCCAGAGACCTCCTTGAATATAAGGCACAGATGTGCCCATGATCTGGGACTGATCTAAGCATTAAGGCCCTACAGAGAGTGCTGCCTCTCTTCCTCATAGAAAAAATTCCCTTGAAAAACAAAAACAATCTCTTTTAAGAAATGAGGCTGAGGCCAGCAGGTGGCATAGTGGTTAAGGTGCTGGATTCCAACATGATTGCCTGCAGTTTGAGTCCTGGACCCAGTGCCTTGAAACTCACATCAGGTGCATGCCCAAAATTTCCAGAGAAAATTGGAGGAGAAGGAATTGCAGCATGGCTATTTCCCTGGGAGGTGATTTCTCACCTTCTCTTTCTTTGTCTCTCTGGCATTTGTACTTGCATGCCCAAAATCCCAAAGGAAGGGAGAAATGGAGAAGAGATTTTGGTGTGACCATCCCCATGGGGAGTGCTTTCTCCTTCTCTCCTATTTCTCTTCAGTAAACACATGTGCCCTGTGGCAAATAAAAAGAAAGAAAGAAAAGGAAGGAAGGAAGAGAGGGAAGGAAGGGAAGAGAGGAAGAGAAAGAAAGAAAAAAGAAAAGGAAAGAAAGAGAGAAGGGAGGGAGGGAGGAATGTAAACTCCTTTTGGCCGGAACTGCCATCTTCCCATAATTCTCCAAGATGACGAACACAAAAAGAAAGAGGAGAGGCACCTAATATATGTTCTCTAGGCCTTTTAGAAAACATGGAGTGGTTCCTTTGGCAATATATATGCAAATCTACAAGAAAGGTGATATTGTAGACATCAAGGGAATGGGTACTGTTCAAAAAGGAAGAGTCCACAATGTTACCCAGCATGCTGCTGGCACTGTTGTAAACAAACAAGTTAAGGGCAAGATTCTTGCCAAGACAATCAATGTGCGTATTGAGCATATTAAGCATTCTAAGAGCAGAGACAGCTTCCTAAAACGTGTGAAGGAAAATGACCAGAAAAAGAAGGAAGCCAAAGAGAAAGGTACCTGGGTTCAACTAAAGCGCCAGCCTGCTCCACCCAGAGAAGCACACTTTGTGAGAACCAATGGAGAGCAGCCTGAGCTACTGGAACCTACTCCCTATGAATTCATGGCATGATGGGTTTTAAAAATAATCTGTGGTCTATAAAAATGTTTGCCTTAATTGAGTAGAATTGTGTTGCCTCCCCCAAACTAATTTTTATTGGGCTCTAATTCATTTTGTAGTATCTTTATTCAAATTTAGTATTTTTTCACCTAAAAGATGATAGGTGGTTTACGCAACAAATAAAACTCAAGTTGGTTAGGAAAAAAAAAAAAAAAGAAAGAAACGCAAACACCCTGAGAGAGTCACATAGGAAGGGCCACTGTCATTACCTTAACCATAAATTAGTCCAGCACTCTGCCCCTCATAAGTAGCTCTCCTCGGCTCCCAGAGGCCTGGTTTCGCTGGGGAGGTGATGTGGAAACATAAGATGCCTAGAAGGGACAAATCGCCCTTATCCAGAAGCAAGGTTCTGGGTTTGCTGATTTCTATACAGAGTCACACTTCCACTTTGTCATAATTTGGGAGGTAGTGGCCATCCCATTTGACAGAGAGAACAGAGATTCAGAAAGCTCTTGGTTAAGAAGAACTCAAGCCAGATGGTGGCACAGTGGTAGCCCATCTGGACCTACACAGAAGGGGCCTGGATTTGGGCCCTGAGGCTTCCCTGCACACACCAACACCTGTGATCTGGGCTGGCTTGGACTGGGGATGGAACATGGTGTGGGGACTATGTGGGGATATGTCTCTCTGTTTCTCTTTCTCTGTGTCTCCCTCTGAGACGGATAAATGTATCTGAAAATAAACTTGTTTAAAAAGGGGAGAGGGGGGACCAGCAGATGGCATAATGGTTATATTGCTGGATTCCCACACGGCAATCCACATGGCAGACCGGACTGTGAGTTTCTGGAGGCTTGAAACTCACACCGGGTATGTGTGCATGTGTGCCTAAAATCCAGAGAGGAGAATGGAGAAGGGATTGTGGAGTGACCATCCCTCCTGGGGTATGATTTCTCATTTTCTCTCTCTCTCTTTGTCTCTCTGGTGAGCAGACACTCCCTATAGCAAAACAACAACAACCAACCAAAAAAACAAACTCTCTTTTAAAAAAAAGAAAAGTAAAGAAAAAAAGAGAGGGCTGGATTCAAGTCCTGCAAAAACAGAATAAGCTCGGGACCAGCAGTTGGTGTATAATGGCTATGTCGCTGGACTCCCATGTAGTCGACTGCAGTTTGAGTCCCGGACCTGGTGGTTCAAACTCACACCAGGCACGTGTATGTGCGGGCCTAAGATCCTGAGAAGAGATTGGAGAAGGGATTGCAGCGTGGCCATCCCCCCGGGGGGGTAATTTCTCGCTTTCTGCCTCTCTGTCTCTCTCTTTCTGGCGAGCGCATGCACCCTATAACAAAAACCTCTCAAAGCAAACAAACAAAAAAGCAGAATAAGCTCAGGATGGAGCCCAGGCACCATTCAACATAATTTTTTCCTTGACCTGAAGTCTCAAAGGGGTATAGGACAAAGTGGGGGGGTCTAATCCACACTTTTGCAGCCCTCTGACCTGGGTGTAAAGAAGGAACCTTCTCACCACCTCTGCTCCTTAAGATGGCTTTGAGATCAGGCAGCAGGAGCAAGGACACACCCCTATTATCCTAGACCCATAGTTCTGCCCTTAAATAAAGCAGGGGCAGAAGAGGGTGCTGCAAGTTCTCTGCAAGACTGTCCTGGCTTGGGAGGAACGAGGTGAACAGAGCCTCAGAAATGTTGGGCACAGGTTCTGGTAACAAAGGCTCTTTGTGGTCAGGACAAGAGACAGTCTGTTACCATCTCTTCAAAGCATGGACGCTTGGTCTGGAGAACCCACAGCAAACAGGTGGGGAGGAAAGGAGAGCTGGAAACTTTTTAGTTTATTTTGGGGCCAGTGGGTGGAGTGGTGGTTAGGGGTGCTGGACTTCCACACAGCTGAATTTAAATAAATAAATTATTGGATAAAGTTAAATAAAATAATTCTTCTAAAAAATTTTTAAGACAATATTTTTTTTTCTTTTAGAATTCTTTTACTTAATTTTCTTTTCTTTTTCCTTTCCTTTTCTTTTCTTTTAATTTGACTAGAGAGGGACAGAGTGAGAGAGATAAAGAGAGAGAGTAAATGAGAAAGCAAGCCACCAGGTCCAGGACTCAAACCGTGGCCAGCCATGTGGGAGTTCAGCGTCCTTAACCACCACGTGAGCTGGCCCCTTTAAATTTTTTTTTTAATTAAACAAAAGTTTATTTTATGCACGGGGCTGGCAGGTGGTGTGGTGATTGTGGATGCTGGACTCCCACACGGCTGACTGTGGTTCAAGTCTAAGACCCAAGCTCACTTTCTCACTTTCTCTCTCTCTCTCTTTCTCTCTCTTCCTTACTCTGTCTCTCTCTGGTCAAATTAAAATAAATAAATAAAGTTAAATACTTTTTTTTTTAAAGAGGCAATTTTATTCATGATAGAGAGAGGGAAAGACCCACTCAACAGAGCCCCATTATGCTGTGATCTGCTTTTCCCAACCCTCCCACTGTCAGGATTTGGGGCGTGTACACGCACATCCAGTGTGCTTTCAAGCCAACCCAGGGATCTGAGCCTGTAGTCAGCCATGTGGCTTCCAGTGCTACAGTTCAACACTGGAATTTTTTTTTAAATAATTATTTATTTTATTTATTCATTTATTTTTTAATTTGACCAGAGAAAGACAGAGGGTGAGAGTGAAAGAGAGAGGAAGTAAGAAAGCAAGCCACCAGATTCAGGACTTGAACCCTGCTGTCGGCCATGTGGGAGTTCACTCTCTCTCTCTCTCTCTCTCTCTCTCTCTCTTCCTTACTCTGTCTCTCTCTGGTCAAATTAAAATAAATAAATAAATAAAGTGAAATAATTTTTTTTTTAAAGAGGTAATTTTATTCATGATAGAGAGAGGGAAAGACCCACTCAACAGAGCCCCATTATGCTGTGATCTGCTTTTCCCAACCCTCCCACTGTCAGGATTTGGGGCGTGTACACGCACATCCAGTGTGCTTTCAAGCCAACCCAGGGATCTGAGCCTGTAGTTGGTCATGTGGCTTCCAGTGCTACAGTTCAACACTGGAATTTTTTTTTAAATAATTCTTTATTTTATTTATTCATTTATTTTTTAATTTGACCAGAGAAAGACAGAGGGTGAGAGTGAAAGAGAGAGGAAGTAAGAAAGCAAGCCACCAGATTCAGGACTTGAACCCTGCTGTCGGCCATGTGGGAGTGTCCAGCGCCTTATCCACCATGCTACCTGCTGGTCCCCAACACTGGAATTTTTTTTCTCTCATGCACGTGTAATCTTATTGAAGTTTAACTATTACAATTAAAAAGTAAGAAGAATGGACCATGTCCTCTAAGTAATCTCACACAGAAGGGATGAGGAGTTGATTACTCTGTCTGGCAAATTATATCTTCTAGGCCGCTGCCTGAGGCCCAGGGCTCTCAGCCTTTCAGAATCCAGCCAAGACCTGGTGAAATTCTTTTCTTATTGAATAATTAAAATGCAAACATTGAGTAGTAATACAGATAAAGATCCTTTCATGAGAAAAAGGGGGAGTGAGGTAGAGGAGACAACATTGGGAAGGGCGTCAGGTGGACCAAGTCTTGGCCCTGGGCTTAGGCAAGTTCTTTTCCCTCTGTGAGCCTCAGTATTCTCTTCTGTAGAAGGGAGTGGGGAAACCTTTGGACAAGGTGACTACATTTTATTTATTTATTTATTTATTTATTTATTTAATTTATTTTTTTGGAGAGATTTTCACTATAGGGCGTGTGCGCTCGCCAGACAGAGCGAGACAGAGAGACAGAAAGCGAGAAATCACCCCCCAGGGGGGATGGTCACGCTGCAATCCCTTCTCCTCCATTCTCCTCTCAGGATCTTGGGCACGGACGCACACGCGCCCGGCGTGAGTTTTAAGCCACCGGGTCCGGGACGCGAACTGCGGTCAACTACGTGGAAGTCCAGTGATATAGCCATTACGCTAACTGCTGGTTCCCACTACATTTTAAAACAGGATAATGTTTAAGAAAGCCTGAGGTGGGGCCAGCAAATGGCATGGTAGACTCCCACCTGGCCAACCACAGTTCGAGTCCTGGACCCAGTGGCTTGAAAATCATACCAGACACAATTGTGTACATACCCAAAATCCTGAGAGAAGAATGGAGAAGGGATTGTGGCAAGGCAATCTCCCCTTGCAGAGGGAGGTGATTTCTCACTTTTTCTCTGTCTCTCTGGTGAGCACACACACACACACTATGGCAAAAAGAAAAATAAAAAAAAAACTAAAATAGAAAGAGAGGAGAAGAGAGGACAGAAGAAAAGAGAAAGCCTAGAGCACGTATTCATTAGTAAGTATTCATTTTACTGCCCCTCCATGAGGAGCCAAAGCAGTTCTCTAAGCCAGGGGCAGGAAGACTGTCCACAGAGCCCGGATCAGAGAAGCCACTCAGACACAGGCCCTGCACTTCCTCCCTAGGGCAGAGGGACCGGAACGCCACGGACTGGGTAGAGGTGTAAGGGTCTCCGTGACCACCCAAGCAGTTCTCTGGAGCCATACTCACCTCTCGAAAATCTCCTGTTCCTTCTGCTGTGAGGAAAAAAAAACCAACAAAGTCAGGCTTGGCACCAGAAACCCAGCGGGTAGTCAAGACAAACATATTTAACTGGCCCAGAGGGCCCTACGTGAACCAGACTCTAGAATTAAAGCTTCTACTCCCTTATGACCCAGCACAAAGCTTATGGGTTGTTATTCTCTCTCTCACACATACATTCACACACACACACCTCCTAACACACACTTGGGATGAATTACTCCATCCCCCATGTCCCACGGTGTCCTGGGCTCCTATCAACTCCACTTCCGGGTCGTCACCTCTTTCCCCGACAGCATCTCCTATAAAGACTGTCAGTTCCTGGATGGCTAAAACTTTGACTCTTCTATTGTGACTGTTCTCGTGTCTGGGACAGAATGTGCTCTGTCCATAGAAGCTGCTCGATGGAATGAACGCCAGATCTAGGGCACTCTGGAAACTGCCCTACTTGAGGTGCGAGCAGCAGGACAGCGCGGTGTTCTACATTCTCCTTCCTGTGCTGGGTATTTTTGCTCAGGTGTCACACTCTCCCTGCAAAACGAGAGGCAACTGCGCTGGCCCCCACAGTGCATGGTGAAGTGCTATGCAGAGCCAGATTCCACGTGGTGAACCGCAATTAAAATCTCAGCCCCAGTGGCTTGAAAAATACACTGGGTGTATGTGTGTGTGCCCAGAATCCTGACGGGATGAAGAATTGGAAAAAAGAAATTGTGGCGTGACCAGTCCCCATTTGGAAACATTTTTTTCCCTCTCTCTTTCTGGCATTAAAAAAAAAAAAAAAAAAGAAAAGAAAAAAAAAAAAACTGGAAGCATGTGCATATCTACATATTAGATTGTCGGGAAAATCATGACGTATTTTTCTTTTTTTTTTTTTTTTAAGAATTTTTAATTTTATCAATTTTATGATTATTTATTTGACCAGAGAGAGACATAAAGAGAAAGTGAGAAAGCGAGCTACCAGGTGCAGGACTCAAACCATGGTTGGCCATATGGGAGTCCAGCACATTAACCACCATGCCACCTGCCGGCACCTTATGACATATTTTTCTATGCAAAAATACATCACAACTTGTCCACAACCCAACAGAATACTTTGACAGGATCAAGTATTAATCACAGTCATTTTTTTAAAGAGGTTTTGTCTTAAGGTGTATGTGCTCACCAAAGAGAGAGACAGAGACAGTGAGAGAGAAAGTGAGAAATCACCCAACAGGGGGGATGGCTATGTTGCAATCCCTTCTCCTCCATTCTCCTCCCGGGATTTTGTGCACACACACACACATATACCTGGTGTGACTTTCAAGCCACCGGGTCTGAGACTCGAACTGTGATCAGCCATATGGAAATCCAGTGACATAACTGCTATGCCATCTGCTGGCCCAATCATGGTAATTTCTGGATGGTAGCTTAAGGATGAGCTCTATATTTCTATCTTGAAGCCTTTGTCAGCTCCCTGAGTATAATGTTCTCCCTGAATGCTTCTCTACCTCTCACCTCTTAAATGCAGTTGTTCTGCTTAGCTTTCAGGCATTGGCTTCTAAGTCACTTAATCCGGGAAGCCTTCCCTGACTCCTCCCCTCCCTCAGCCTGGATCATGAAGTCCCTGGCTCTGAGCGATTCCCCCGGCCATAGCACATATCCTTCCAGAACCCATGTGTCAGTTTATGTTTTCATGTCCCTCATAAGGCTGGGAGCAGCTGTCAGCTGGATCCTGTAACACCACCTACAGCACAATGCTTAGCAGGTAATAGGTGTTCAGTAAACATTTGCTCACTATTAAAATAATACTGTTGGGGCTGGCAGGTGGTGTGGTGGTTAAAGCACTAGACTCACACATGGCCAACCACAGTTTGAGTCCCAGACCTGGCAGCTTGCTTTCTCGCTTTCTTTTTCTCTCTTTCTGTGCAAATTAAAAGAAAGAAAGAAAGAGAGACAGGGAGAGAGAGAGAGAGAGAGAAACAAAGTTAAATAAAATAATTCAAATAAAATAAAAACACAGTCTTAAAAAAATAATAATAGGGGGGCCAGCAGGTGGTGTGGTGGTTAAGAATGCTGGATTCCCACATGGCTAACTGCAGTTCAAGTCTCGGAACTGGCGGCTTGCTTTCTCACTTACTTTCTCTCTCTCTCTCTCTCAGTCCCTCTCTGGTCAAATTAAAACAAATTAATAAATGAATAAAGATAAATACAAAAGTAATTCTTAATAATAATAATAAATTAAATATTTATTTTTTTAAAAAATACTATAATCAGGTGCAAAAAAGCCCAATTCATATGATTTTATTCTCTGGCCTCATTCCTATTCCAAAATTTCATTTCCACCCATTTCCTACCCAAAAAAAAATCTCAATGTGTTTAAAACTTTAGGGGATTCTAGCCAGCTGGCCATCTACACCTTAGGCTGACTTACAATCAGCTGGAGGTCATCCAGATGGGTGAGCATGCCCACCAGGCTGGTGCGGATGCTGTCGAGCTTCTTCAGTGCCTCGGCCCAGTGGACCTGCTGTGTCAAGTTGCTCTGGTGGGCCCGCTCCTCTTCTCCATGCACCTGTTCCAGTAACCGCTGCTCCTCGCTCTCACACAGACTCCTCACCAGACCCAACCGCTGGATCACCAGTTCCCTCGCTGCACTAGCCATGTTCTGACAAGGATAAAACGAGAAGTCAGGTTCTAGCAAAGTCCTGAAGGATTAGGTGGGTTTGGGCTCCATGGCAGAGTACTGCCAAGGTTGATTAGCAAGGTCTGCGTGGGCATAGCAAGGGTGATAATAATGAGTGAGCTGCTTACTCTGACATTCCAGTCCTAAGGCTTCTCAAATACGTTTAGATAAAAACATTGAGATCCAGACATCCAGGTCGTAACTCATGGAGCCATGATCACAGAATGGAAGATCTGGCAAGGCTTACAGATCTACTAGAATCACTTGCTTATTTCACAGTTGGGAAAACTAAGGCCAAGGGACCAAGGTCAGAGAATTATAGAACTGCAGGGAAGAAGAGCTGGAAAAGTCATCCCCGTCAACGTGATCCGTGCCAATAGTGGTCTGGTTGATATTTCACCATGTCTGAGGACAAGGAACTCTACACCGAGGGAGCCTGAAATCAATTCACAGCTTTTTAAGTTTTTTAATTAATTAATTTTTTTGTTTCTTTATAGGGTGCATACACTCACCTCCAAAAAGAAGCAGATGGGGGAAAGTGAGAACTCACCCACTGGGGGAATGGCCACAGAGCAATCCCTTCTCCATTCTCCTCTTGGGATTTTTGGACACACACGTGCATGTGCCTGGAGTGATTTTTAAGCTACTGGGTCCTGGACTCAAACCATGCAGTCAGCCATGTGGGATCCAGCTGCCTTAACCTCTACACACCTGCTGGCCTGCATCTTTGACTAATTCCTCGCATAGTAGGCATAGAATAGGTATTCAAACACTGACTGCATGGGAAATTTTTCCTGACTTAGTCAAACATCTCTTGACAGTGTTCACATGGCAAATCAACAGCAGAGACGGGACTAGAATTCAATTCTCCTGACTCCCATCCAACACTACTTCCCCTCCACCAGATGCCACCTAGTGACCAGTCGTCCCCAAAGGCATCTGTTGCATAAGCACCTACGCTTGAACGCCTGCCAGACAAGTAAGAGCAGAACTGCCTCCCGCGTATCAGAAAGTCAGGGCCAGTCAGCAGGTTTCTCTGCTTGCTCCTCAGGACTTGTTTTGTATAGTGCGAGGGGCAATAGTCCCTGTTCTGCAGAACCACCTGAGACTCACAATTTGTCCAGTGGGGAGGAGAGAATGGCTAAGTGATTGGCAAGTGAGCCCAGAACTCCAGGTCCATGGATCCTCTTGAGGTGACATGACATGGTGACTTCACAACTTAAACCTAAGAGACAGTGTCTAGATTTAAATTTTACCACTCCACTCACTCACTGTGGAACTGGGAGTATGTTTGTATCTTCCCCATGCCTCAGTTCACTCATCTATACAATGAGGGTCATAATAGTGCCTGTTCCATATGGCTAAGGTGAGGATGCAATGAACTGACACATACAAAGTAAACAAGACCAAGCCTGGCACCCGAGAAGTGGATAACATTAGCTCTAACTTGTCCCTTTATCCCTCCTTGATGTCTTACCCACGGGAATGGTCCCTGTAGCCATGTTTGTCCTATGTGGATCAAAAGTAGATCCTGAACCAGGCTGGATCAGATTCTTCCTGCCTAAAAGACACTAGTCCATGTCAACAAGTTTCTTGAGTCATTCCCAGAAAAAGATAGCAGAGAAAAGAAAGAACTTTTCTTTCCAAATATGACAGAACAGGCAAACTAAATATCCTCTCAGAACAAGACACCAAAATGCTGGAAAAATAGGCCAAGCAACCTTTTAAAATGCAGCTGCTCTGGAGACTAAGAAGATCCTCAGGGAGTCTGAAAATGAAAGCAAATAGAGAACCAGTATAATCAAGAGCTGAGAACTCAACTAGGCTGACAGCCTTGTAATTCACTTTAGAACTTCATACTCTGCTAAACTCTCATACAAAAAATGAGAGCACAGGAGCCGGCAAGTGGTACGGTGGTTAAGGGCGCTAGACTCCCACATAGCCAATTGCGGTTCAAGTCCCAGACCTGGCGGCTTGCTCTCTCACTTTCCCTCTCTCACTCTGTCCTTCTCTGATCAAAATGTGGGATCCAGCTGCCTTAACCTCTACACACCTGCTGGCCTGCATCTTTGACTAATTCCTCGCATAGTAGGCATAGAATAGGTATTCAAACACTGACTGCATGGGAAATTTTTCCTGACTTAGTCAAACATCTCTTGACAGTGTTCACATGGCAAATCAACAGCAGAGATGGGACTAGAACTCAATTCTCCTGACGCCCATCCAACACTACTTCCCCTCCACCAGATGCCACCTAGTGACCAGTCGTCCCCAAAGGCATCTGTTGCATAAGCACCTACGCTTGAACGCCTGCCAGACAAGTAAGAGCAGAACTGCCTCCCGCGTATCAGAAAGTCAGGGCCAGTCAGCAGGTTTCTCTGCTTGCTCCTCAGGACTTGTTTTGTATAGTGCGAGGGGCAATAGTCCCTGTTCTGCAGAACCACCTGAGACTCACAATTTGTCCAGTGGGGAGGAGAGAATGGCTAAGTGATTGGCAAGTGAGCCCAGAACTCCAGGTCCATGGATCCTCTTGAGGTGACATGACATGGTGACTTCACAACTTAAACCTAAGAGACAGTGTCTAGATTTAAATTTTACCACTCCACTCACTCACTGTGGAACTGGGAGTATGTTTGTATCTTCCCCATGCCTCAGTTCACTCATCTATACAATGAGGGTCATAATAGTGCCTGTTCCATATGGCTAAGGTGAGGATGCAATGAACTGACACATACAAAGTAAACAAGACCAAGCCTGGCACCCGAGAAGTGGATAACATTAGCTCTAACTTGTCCCTTTATCCCTCCTTGATGTCTTACCCACGGGAATGGTCCCTGTAGCCATGTTTGTCCTATGTGGATCAAAAGTAGATCCTGAACCAGGCTGGATCAGATTCTTCCTGCCTAAAAGACACTAGTCCATGTCAACAAGTTTCTTGAGTCATTCCCAGAAAAAGATAGCAGAGAAAAGAAAGAACTTTTCTTTCCAAATATGACAGAACAGGCAAACTAAATATCCTCTCAGAACAAGACACCAAAATGCTGGAAAAATAGGCCAAGCAACCTTTTAAAATGCAGCTGCTCTGGAGACTAAGAAGATCCTCAGGGAGTCTGAAAATGAAAGCAAATAGAGAACCAGTATAATCAAGAGCTGAGAACTCAACTAGGCTGACAGCCTTGTAATTCACTTTAGAACTTCATACTCTGCTAAACTCTCATACAAAAAATGAGAGCACAGGAGCCGGCAAGTGGTACGGTGGTTAAGGGCGCTAGACTCCCACATAGCCAATTGCGGTTCAAGTCCCAGACCTGGCGGCTTGCTCTCTCACTTTCCCTCTCTCACTCTGTCCTTCTCTGATCAAATTAAAATAAATAAATAAGCTAAAAAAAAATTCTTAAAAACAAATGAGAGCACATATTTGAAAATAAAAAAGGAATCCAGCATGGTGACACAGTTGGTAGCAACCTGAACTACAGTGCTGGAAACCACATGACTGACTGTGGGTTTAGATCCACAGGTCAGCTTGAAAACATGTAGGGTGCATGCATGTGTGCCCCAAATCCTGAGGAGCTGCGGAAACGGGATCTTGGCATTACCAGATCCTATAAAGGGTGCTTCACTTTCTCTCTCGTATACAGGCATGGGCTCTCGAACATGAATAAAACAAACTTTAAAAAAAATTTCCTATGGGGGGCTGGCAGGTGGTGTGGTGGTTGAGGGCACTAGATTCGCACATGGCCAACGGCAGTTCGAGTCCTGGACCTGGCAGCTTGCTCTCTCGCTTTCTCTCTCTCTTGCTCTGTCCCTCTCTGATCAAATTGAAATACACAATGAATAAATAAATAAAGTTAAATAAAATAATTCTTTTAAAAAATTTCCTATGACTATAAAAAAATTATTAAAAACTGTATTTTAAAAATTGGGCAAAAACATGTAAGACCAGAGGGGCAACTGGATTAAAGCATTCAACAGTGCTTGTGTTCTTCTGGGAAAAGCAGAGATAGTTCATTTATTTTAGATATTGTTAAGTATTCATGTTAAAATTTTAGGGGCCTTGGGCGGCCAGCAGGTGGCATAGCGGTTAAGGTGCTAGACTTCCACAAGGCCAATTGTGATTCAAGTCCCAGATCCGGCAGCTGGAAAATCATACAGGGTACATGTCCACGAGTCTCAAAATCCTGATGAGAATGGAGGAAAAGGGATTGTGGTATGGTTATCCCCCTTTGGGGGACGGTTTCTCATTTTCGCTCTGTCTCTCTCCAGTGACTGTATGTACACTATGGCAAATAAAAGAATTGAAAAATAAAGAAATTTTAGAGGTGCCAACAATTGACCATAAATTGTGGCCATCCCTCCTGGGGGGTTATTTCTCACTTCCCCTCTGTCTGTCTCTCTTCGGGAAGTGTATATACACTATAGTCATAAATAAATAAATAAATAAATAAATAAATAAATAAACTGAAAAAAAGTAAGGGATACCAGGAGTTGACCATAAACTGTATGTACTTTCTCTCTCAAACCAGCACAGAGAAAAAGAGGGAGAGCGGTCTGATTAATTCAAAAGAAGGTGAGAAAGAAAAAAAGAACAGAAAAACCAGATTATATGTTGGGTTGTTGGAAAAGTCATGACATATTTTTGCACAGAAAAACACGTCATGACTCTTCCAACAACTCAATAGACAATAACAAAAATTTCTCGAAAAAAAAAAAAAATAAAGACAAAAAACTCCCTAGTTTAAAAGCAGGGATTACCAAATTGCCTGTATTTTTTTTTTAAAATCAAGTTATAAAGTACCTAAAACATAAAAACATAAAAAAAAATAAAAGCACCCCATAGTACCATGGTCAAGGGAACCAGATCCCACATGGCTGACCATGGTTTTAACCCCAGGTAAGCAACTTGAAAAAAAAAGAAATAGGCTGGATGCACGTGTATATGTGCCCAAAACCTGAAGGGATGGATGAGGGAGGAAAAAGGACTG